TAAGGAACTGTTCGCAGGCCATTGGCATGGGTTGCCTGTACCCACAGTAGGTCGGCCACCAATCAGCTCGCTCCACGGGCAGAACTCATGCCCCGAGCCTTTCGTAAATGTACAGTGCTGCGTCAAATCAATTTCGAGCTGACGGAGTACCATCCGAACGGCCGGACGCGATGTTTGCCGGAATGCTGCTTCATGGAAGCTGGCTTAACCGCATTGACCCTACCTCCAGATTTTAATTGGATGGGGCCGGGTGCCTGCGAGCGGTGTATGCAGCTGCAATTAGTAGATTCTCACGAACTGAAATCACAGAAATCATGGGAGGTACCTTTGCACACTGCAAACACTTGCAAACATTGAAACTCCCTGGAGTACTGAGGATGATTCGACAGGAAGCCTTCCTCAAATGTGCCTCCTTAACAGAGGTGCACGCGCCTCCCACATTGCTCTATATTGCACGACGAGCTTTTGCGGGGTGCGCACAGCTCTGTCGCTTTCAGAGAAATGGCCAAAGAGTGACCTGGCGGGGCACCTACTCTCGAGGAAATGCTTTTCTTCGCTGTGACAACTTAGATATGCCGAATTGGGTTCGATGGTTGCCACGCACTCAAGAAGACGAGGATCAATGGGCAGATGACTCCTTTGCTGCCCTCGATTAAGGGTTGGTGTCGACGTGCTCACGGATGTCTTGCGTCACTGCTTGCGCCCGTGTGCTGGCTAGACCCCAATCATATCCCAATCATACCTCGTTATGTCTTTTTGAAAGCTGCAAGCGCACTTGTTTACCAATAATGACTACATAAGCAAAGTAGGCTGCTGACCAACACCCGTGTGCTGGTCCTGTGCGTACCAGCCAATGACACAGTGCTAGCTGCCTTCGTCGACACTGAGTAGTTAGCCAGTCCCAGCCTGCTACCCGTGTAGTGGTTCTGGATGAGTACAGTGTACAGAATTAGGAAAACTGCGTCTCACCCTGTTTCACCTCCTAACTTAGTATCATAGTTCATGGGGCACATGCATGTTTTGGCCGCTCCTGATGGTCGCGGTGGAAAGAGGCTGATAGAAGATGAAAAGCAACACAAAGTGCAGTAATTGTCCAGGATGGCTGCCCACACCTGGAGCATGTCACGCTTTACGCTCTGTGTCAAGCCCTGTGTGCTTGACTTGCCTGACATGCTCTGCTTGTGCCTCCCCCTCTGGGGGAGGAAAGGGAGGCACCTCTCCCTTGCCACCTCTTTTGAACCATTTCGGTGACCTTGCGCTGTCCTTCATCCTCGGCTTTTTGGAAATACCGAGCTGAGTGACCGTGGTTTTCCTTTGACGGCACCTCCTTGGTTCCGCATTCGTGGCTACCAGCTGGCAAAAAGGCAAATCGTGACGAATGGACCCAGGTCAAAGGGCCATTCCCTCACTAACAATTCGCTTCTATTTGATGCACACTTTCACTGGTGGTATGAGCACAGTAGCAATGCTGCAATTTTGGACTGTGCCATCCTTTCCATCGTTTTCATCCTTGCCTTTTTGGTGGCGCTACGGCACTCACAGGGTGATAAATGCCTAAGCAGTACTTGCAACAGCACATGCAACCGTTTGCTCGTTGGGCTCTTATGCCCCTGATTCGATTGCACCTTGCTCCGCTTCATGAAGAACAAGAAGTACTGAGCGTTTTGCGGAATTCATCGCCCCTGTCTCACCTTCTTCATGCCTTCTTGGCTCTCGGAGCTGCGCTACAGGTTGCGCTCTTTTTGGGTTTTGTTGTGTTGTTTTTTGGTGGGTGTTGGGTTGCTTTGGTCCTTTCGTGTTATGTGCAACCTGTCTAGTAACTCCTTCTTAACTCGACTAAGGTGACTTGTGCATGACCTGCACACACAGCGCCTCCACTCGTGCAAAAAAACTGAGCTTCTTTGGATGAGACACCAAATGCACATGGACGACAAAGCTCACCAACGGTGATCGTGTTGTGTTGGTAAGTTTCAGGAAACTATGTTTTCCGGGTGTCTCGAATTTGTATACCGTATTTTTACACTTCAAGCAAAGGGCGGGAGTGGTGGGCATCTTCAAAATGAAGATTGCAAAAACTGCCCACCCCCCCCACACCATGTGACATCACTCCGAAGGAGCAAACCGGGGAAAGCAAACCGTGACAACCCCCGTGCAAAAAGGCGCGACTGAGCTTCTTTGGATGAGAATGGACAGCTTTTTCTTTTGCTTTTGCTTTTGTTTTGCTTCTGCTTCTGCTTTTGCTTCGGCTTTTGCGTTCTGCTTTGCTTTTGCTTCTGCTCTTGCCTTTGCTCACTTCTGCTTCGGTTTTAGCAAGCGTTTTTGCACTTGCTCTTGCTTGCTGTTGCTTGCAAAAAGGCTTGAAGTGCAAGTGCTGCTGCAAGTAGCTTACTGCGTGCTGGCAGCAAAGAGCCTGTGCCGGTGCATTCCTTTTGTGACCTTTTGTGAGCTTCTCGAGGGTAAATGGAAGATTCCAACGATGCATGGCTTTTGTGAAGCACCTGAGCGTAAATCAAGAGGCAAGCGTGTCACTTGGTGTTTCAACGTTGCGCGCAGACGCGTTGTCAATCACAAATGTCCACAGTCGGCGATCGACTGGTGCTCAATTGCGTGTTTTGAGACCGGATTCCATAAAAAGGTGTGATTTTTCAAGTGGCAGAAAAATATATATTGCATAAAAAATTCATGAAAACACACATCTCTGGAAATTCTCTTTTCCCAGAGATCCAGAGGAAAACTTTAAACAAGAAACTCAAACAAAATTTTTCAATATAGAAGTGATCAATCCCAACTCTCTGGAGGGACATTTGTGAAAAAAAACTATTTATATATGTTTATACATTTTTTATATATAAACATATTTATTCATAGAGATCCTTTCTAGTGAAATGCACAGCTTCTATATATAGTTTTTAAACAAATCATCATGCCCAAAGATTTTGGGGACAGCTTTGGAAATGCACGCCTTTATATTTGTCTTGAATGTAGAAGTGATTCTGGAATAAACACTTGCAATGTAGAAGGCATTTTTAATATAGACAGGATTATTATATTTTCAGAAATGAACGGGTAAGCTTTAAAATAACTGCTTATATACATGTATTTTAAATATGGACATGATTGTCCTCAAAGATTTAAAGGAAAATTTTTGAACAACAGGGCTTTCAATTGTAGTTTTTTAATGTAAACACGTCCAGAGAATGAAGAGGAAAACTCTTGAATTAGCTAAACTATTTTGTTATAGACGGGATCATTCCAGAAATCTATATAGAGGAAAACCTGTGACATAGAAACTTTTATACAAGGCTTTCTTAATATAGAAATGATTATTTCAAATATTACTTGAACAAATTTATTTGTCTACTCAAAAGCAGTGTTTTGACCTAGTTCCCAGAACTCCCAGGGCAAGAAAACACTGTAAAACACATAATTTTATAGCATTTAGCTTTAAACTCACACCCCCAGCAACACCTGCCCTCTGGAATTAAATTAGACTTGACCAAGAATCAAATTTGAATTGAACAAGAATTAACTTACAATGAAAATGGTTTGAAAATTCAATTTTACAAACTGAAATTAGGTTTGAATGGAGTTATATAAATTGGATTTGAATTAACTTTTTAAGATCTAAATTAACATTGAATTTGAAAGAAACTTGAATTAGCATGCGCGTAGAGATGAATTAGAACTGAATTAGAATGAAACTACAATTGAATGAGGTATATATATATATTTTAAATAATCAATTTGTCATACCAAATGGGCCAAAAAGCGCACTGCCACAACTACCCGCTCTCTCTCTCTCTCTCTATATATTTGGTTTGCCGTTCTCAGTTGACTCGAGTCGAGTTGTAGGCTTGAATGACAAGTTCAAAGGTTCGGCCGGTTTGCCACGATTTGTCCAAGGAGCTGGGGGTATCCATACTTCCCAAGGAGCTACAAGAGCCCCCTAACCACCTGCTAGATCAGAACTGCACCCATAGAAATTGGCTCTCCTCTCATCACGAGAAGAAACCATTAGGAGCAAGGACTAGTAGCTCCTGGCCTTACTACTCCTAGTAACAAGAGGCTACTAGTAACAAAGAGTATCGCTACTAGGAACAAGGACGCTACTAGTAGCTAGAATGCTACTAGTAGTAATGTCCTTGTTACTAGTAGCGATGCCCTTTGTTACTACTAGCAAGGACGCTACTACTTTGTGATGAAACAGACCCAGCTGTGTGGCTTCTGCAGCCAAGCCATGGGATCAGTTTTTCAGCTGGTGAATTGATCCTGCTATTCTACCGGATATGACCAGGTTGGTCTGAAAGAGATCAGGAACTTAAACAACTGAAGCCCTTCGTGGCATTGTGAAAGGATTATGATTATATATATAGAAGACGCCAGCCCCAGCCTTCCAAGGCCATTAAAAAGCAGGTTGGCTTGGTTTTGTAATCAAACATCCTTAGTGAAACAATGGTTGTTCGGTCTCTCACTACGTGTAGGCGCACCTCACGGACCCTTCGACTAGTGACTATTGTAGCGGAATGGTAAGAACATGTAAGAACCATTCTATAACTCAATTCAATGGCGCTTGGAATTCCAACCAACCAACCAACCAACCCCAACCGACGCACGTCCGACGAAAACTGCGACTCACGCCGCCTGCTCGCGCGAAAATCTCGCGCTCGCGCGATGGAGTCGACGGACCAGAGTTTTGCAGGTGCAACATGTGGATTGTTTGATTGGTTTTGCAGGAGAAGTGGATTGGTGGATGGAAGAAAACCACACTCTGTGGGATGGGTACGGAAGGAGTCGGAAGGGTGCCGCACCACGGAGTCGAACAGATGTGTTTCTGTTCTTTTTGGCAAATTGATGATGCACGATGAAGCACAGGTGTGGCAGGTGAACTTCGGAAGTTTGCACATGGAGAAACCCAGGGTTTGGACTCACAGTCATGGACACATTCGGATATCTTATGGATTCGTATTGATTTGGATGTTGTGGAAGACCTTGCCGACTGTATGAGCATGTGCCGTGTTTGGGGAGACATTCTTTTTTGGTTTACGGTTTACCCAGTAGCTTTGGAACTTTGACTGGCGAACTGCATTGATTCTGATTCATATCAATGCCAGAAGCCAGAAGCAGACCTACAGTGGGCTGGGTCAGCGGAGACAATTCAGTGCTGCACGACATATGACTGCTGCTCCAGGTGTCATCGATGGATTATTGGATGAGAAGAAGACGGAGACCAGACAGAAGGCATGTGACGAGCGTGCCGACAGACTTTTTAGGTTCTGATTGCTGTTCCGACTTCTTTCGGCTTCATAGTCTTTGCTCCAAATCTGGAGGCTGTCTAGAACTGACCCAGTTGGAAGTGCTTCCAATTCTGGTTTAGCTTGAGATGTGTGCCACAATCTTTGAGAACTCTGTGTCTTATCTTCCCCATTGACCTCGTCCTTTAGCAATTGAACCTGCTTTTTTTGGTGGGTCTCGTGAGTACTTCCTTGTGCCTTGCAAGCCTTGCTGTCTCAGAGTTGTGGATGGAAGAGGGGGGGTACGCCGGAGACACCGGATGAGGCAGAAGCTTGGATTGCTTGGATCCTGCATAGCCAACAGCTATCCAAGGCAGATACGCCCACGCGAGTTTTCGGTGGCTTTTGAGGAAAGACGATTTGGGCGGGTTCGAGCTTCCAGTTGAGTCATCTGAAGTTGAACTGTCCCTCTTTTCGCCACGAGAACTCCGGTGCGAAGGTGTCATGTTGAACTGTGCATGCCCAGACCGTGGTCGTTCTCGCCAGGCCGATGCAGTGCAGAAGGTGTCTCGCTTGATTCACCGCATAGTGGAGGAGCGAAAGGGATCCGTATTTGGAGACGTTCCAGAAGTCCAGGCTGATTCCAATTGATGCCAATTGGCTATGGTTCAGAAATGGCAACCCCGTATCATATTCCCTTGTAAGATTGGTAAGTGGAACACATGACGACAAAAGAATCTGCAGGTCGCTTCTGTCATATTTCTTTTGGAGCCACATCCAAGGAGCGCTACCTATTCTTGTTGTTTATTTAAAGATTCTTTTGGGGCAGCTGACTCTTGGAGGGTGGATCTTGATGATGAGATGATCAGGCCTTTCAGGCTGATCCGACGATTGGACATTCCATCCATGACATGATCCGGAGCTGGAGCCAGCTAGCTGGGGCCAGTTGGGCGAGATAATCATTCGCTGGGGGGTTTGCCCAAAGCTGTGGATTCCGGATTGCCAGGACTATTTCACCAGTGCATGGTTGGAAGCACAGGGGATAAGGACTTTTGTTGCCTGCAGATGGGAAGTGCTGGGAGCTTTTGCCAAGAGGTTCAGCCTTTGCAGGGCAAACCTGTCTAACAGCAGTTTGTGCTGGAAGATGAGTTGGATCTAAGTCTCGCAAAGGTCAGAGTCAGTTTTACAACATATTGGGACTTTGAAGATCGTTTTGGCTGAAATGGAGGACCGTGTTGGTCCCAAAGCTGCTGCAGGACACTGCAGGACTGCACAATACTGAACTAACTCCATTCTAGATGGTCCTGGACGCAGCCCAGAAGCACGAGTCTGTCTATCCATTCACCGGGCGCCAAGGCCGAACGCTCGGATCGAGGGACTGGTGGCTCTGAGGGAGCTGACCTTTCTCTTGGAACATGTGGGGATGTCCCAGTGGAGCGGAGCGGGAGGGGTGGGACTTCCGTTGGGCGTCGGGATGCATGCAAAGGTAACTTCAATAGCTTGGAAAGCCTGCAGTCTGGATCTTGGAAGATCTGTGAAGAAACACGAGGTTTTGGATGGCTTTGGACCACATATATATATATATATAACTTGTAGCACATCAGTTGTTGTGCCCCGTCAGTGGCCTGTACAACTTTCAAAGGACACCTCTCGAGGCTTCAAGCAGGTCACAACGTCTGTTTCATTCAAAAGGCCTCCTGCCAGCCTCATGGCTCGTGATGAAGCATTTTCCCAGCATCTTTTATAATGTAAACCTACCAAACCAACCAAACGGAGTCATACTCATAGCACGACCAACGATCACGCTCCGATCTGTCCCTCATACATCTCAGTGGAGCAGTCCAACATGATGCCCTCATACTGAGATCACCGCAGATCTCGGACGCCGCGGCGCCGAGGAATCTGCTCAATGCTTTGCCCACGAGATTACCACGCCAATCCTCCGGTGCTTCTCCGATGAGGACGACTACTCCGCACCCGGACCAGAGCGGACGATCCGCGGGTGACGTTCCTTTTTCAAGGACTATCGCAAGGGGTGGTGAGCGAATTCGTTCTCTTTTCGGTGTTCAAGAAAAGAACTCATGACTTTGGACTTTTGCAACTGCACTCAGCACTCCCCATTTGTTTCTTCATTCTGCGGAGTAGTCCGAAGTGTGGCCTGTGTGATTTGTGCGCCATGGATAGGATTCCAACGTCAGATACAAGGCTTGCGAAGCCTTCTACAACGTGGCCAAAGTCATCCGCCGCGGAGTGCTTCAAGATATGGAGTCCGTCTTTGACGGCCTTTGCAAGCTGCTCGGAACCCATGCAAATCGGAATACAGCGAATACCGTCTGCATCGCTGCAACGACCGGTTTGTTTATGTTGCGGGTGACCATCACTGGGAGCTTGGCGTTCTTTTGGGTCCTGAACTATCCATGTCGCAGAAGGCGGCGATGTGTGAAACACCGCGCAGAAGGAGTGCCGATCCCTACAGATTTGGACGGACCTCAATTTCACGGGGTCCGGAAAAATGCCAGAAAACAGGACTCAAAATGAGTGCACCCGCCCAGCATACACAAACGAGTCGGGGCAAAAATGGTGCAAACGCCTTGGAATGCTCCTCGTTCTTTTTGTCTACAAGTCGTTGCAACGGAGAGGCTTATTATTTTTGATGATACTAGGCCAGCACCCGCTGGGAGATAGAATCCATCTTAAAATAGAACCAGATTCTTGCCAAGGTTTGATGTCTTCAAGGGGATAGGACTGCCAAAGATTCTCTCATTTCCGTTCGAACATTCCAGTACAGAGGACTGCTCCCTACATACCGTAGCAATTTAACACAGCTACTGTAAATGGTTGTCCAACAGCTTCGTGTCGAAACGGGCGAGGCTGTATACTGACGTGGAACAAACCATCAAGGAGGGCGCCCAAAGCTTGGATCGCTTGGTCCGGGACATCGTCGTGGAGCAGCGGCGCTTTGACTACTCCACGTGGCTGGGCGGAGTTGGAGGCTGCTCTTGGTATGGTGGTTTGGGCGGCAGATAGATAGATAGTTCGACTCTTTAAGAAGTCTCCAGATAGCAGATAGCTGTCACAACTTGAATCCAGATGGGATGACTTTGGACGAACTGCTTCCGCACCAAATCTCACAGTTCAAGACAATGACTGCAGTGAATGCTCAGAGGAAGGTGTGGTCAGAAAACTCTAAAGTTCGGCTTGTGGGAAGACCGAATGCAAAGAAACATCAAGCGAATGGCCAGGGGCGGGTGGAGATCGTATGACCACACTGTAACCACTTGAGCCACGTACTCGCGTGTGTCACATGAGCTAGAAACTCTTGCAGCAATTAACGACCTTTTCTTTTCTGCAACTTTGTGTTGCTTTTTCTCTTCCTTTCTGGACATGGCTGGGCCACAAGAAGGCGTGATTCGGATCCACATGAATCCTTTCATCCACCCTTCCTCTGGCTGCTTCGTGGGACATGTAGGGAAACTCAGTCCCCACCCAAAGACTCCTTTGGATAGCCACCCTCATTTGTGACGAGTCGCGCCAGTCCGTCGATTCGTCCTTCTTGGTCCGAGCAGAATCTGCCGTTGCCTGCCCAGGCTGATTCCGCTGATCGCCGCACGGATCCATGTGCTGAACCCCTCGGTGGGGGGTCGTTGGCGATAAGAAGCACCGTCTAAGACATGTGGGGAAGTATTCCTGACAATGCCTGGAGACGGTTTCTTCAACCAGACTTTGTTCAATATTGGTGAAATTCGCTTCCGGGAGTGTACGGTCTTTATCCTGTCACCATTTCAACTGAACGTGCATCCGATTAGTATTATTGAACTTTACATGGCCTGCACTTCCGCGCAGGTTCGCCAACTGGTCTTGGGCTGGATCGTTCTCCTCGACTCCCTGCCACAGGCGCTCTGAATGCACCGATTGTGCTCATGTACATTGGGCTGAGGTTCACCATGGTTCACTTATAGGACATTTTCACTACATGGACCCAGAGATATCTTGAAGACAACCTGACCAAGACCAGTGATGGTGGCCAGCTGATTCACTGGCAGCATCATGCCAGCAGTAATCGGTGAGCACTGGGGTTAATTGGGGATGGGTCAAAACCTGGAGCCCCCAACAACATATACTTGACCTTTCAGGTAGACCCCCCACATCCGCGCAAGACAGGCCAAATCAATCTTCCGCAAGAGAAAAGGAACATGCACTGACGATCTACTTGATTTGTCTCCTACTTGATGCACATACAGACAACCAGTTCCACCTCCTCTTAGGCCCTCGAGCAACATTTCGCCTGGGTTTTCGCTGGCTCTTCTCTTTTTCGACCAGGTGGATATGATAGCGTTTCTGCCCCATTATTTGGAGGGGCTCTTCGGCATCCTGGCCAGCGACAATCGCGACTTCAGGATGCAGGCAGCGGGGCGGGCACGGGCTACAATCGCCTGGCACAGGGGTTTGAGAGGGACTTGATACATTTGTGACCTGAAGGCATGAAGATGCACATGCTGTCTACTTTTGAGTTGGCTCCACAGGTAGGTGCAAGACACGCGCCATGTCCAATTCCCAAGCTCATTCTAAGGTATTGAACAGCCTTGGGATTTGTGAGAGCCGTCCCCTCTTCTTTTGCTTGGTGGTAGTGAGCCGTGCAAGATTTGCTCATCACTCACCCTTCGAATCATTATTCACGTCGCTTCGCGACGGTAACCGCCCGCACCGCATGGAAGGGGACAATATTTGGACCGAACATAGGAAGTGATCCCCTCCCGGTCATCATGGCCCAATGTAGTTGGAGGGTTAAAAGACTGCCACCGGGAGTAAGGAACACGATCTGGAAGGGGGTCTTGTGCTCATGGAGCCAAGGGAGTCAAATCGAGGTACCTTTTCTCAAGGTAGCTCAAGATCGCGCAATTCGGGTGAATAGGAGCAGAGATAAGCAGAGATAAGGTCAAGTAACGGTAACGGTTGTCCTAACGTTTACGACGTTCAAGTACCTATCTCGGGGAAGCATACTTGAGATAGTGACTTCTGGGGTTATGTTCG